GCCAGGAGTGACCAGGAATAACGGTCACAAGCTGGCAGAGGGTAGGTTTAGGTTAGACATCAGGAGGCGCTATTTCACGGTCAGGGTGGCTAGAGTCTGGAACCAACTTCCAAGAGAGGTGGTGCAGGCTCCTACCCTGGGGGTTTTTAAGAGGAGGTTAGATGAACACCTTGCTGGAGTCGTTTGACCCCAGTACTCTTTCCTGCCATGGTAGGGGGTCGGACTAGATGATCTGCTCAGGTCCCTTCCGACCCTAGAAACTATGAAACTATGAAACTATGAAACTTTCAGGATCATAGCCAAAGGTTGTTCTATTGCCAGTATACCTCTGTTTAATTCCCAGATTTACGCTATCTGGAGAGAGCCTTCTCCTCAACATAGAGTCGTTAGGTGCCAGTGACTCAAAACGATTGAAACACTTGAATTTTCGAGAATTCCACCATCTGTTTTCTGTAAAATATCCATTGAGGTCAATATACTGTCAGAGTTTCCTCAAGTAAAGATGACTACAATGGAGAAGTTGATGTGCCTTTTTAGGATGGCAGGTGTTAATATAAACAGAAAGGAGTTAAGTACTCGCACACTAATGATTTACCTAGCTTGACACAAACACACTCAACAAAGAATGTTCAATCAAAATTTCACCCAGAAGAAATTTAAAGAAGCCATGTGTAAGTGGAACGCATCCTGAGAATTCATCAAAACTACTTGACACTGCAGCACACCCATTTAAAGGAAAAGGTTGCTGAAGCATGTTTTTGTGTGTGTGCACTACAGTCTGCCACAGCTGCAGGAAGAGAACAAATGTACTACCAGAGTCGACATTTCGGAGTCAAATTCAGTGAAGACTGGCCTCATGCACCTCTTAAACAAGGTGAGCTATATTTTATAATAATCATATTACTCATATTGGCCCCAATTGTGTAGCTGCATCTGTGTTGACACTGTGGGCCCACAGTGTGAGTCTGCTACATATAGATCTTGCAGCAGTGAACTGTACTAAATTGGTAGGTTTGCTCCCACCTTAAGGTGAATTTCAGAGTGTGTGGTGGTGAAAGGCACTGGATAAGCAGCACTGCAAACCTAAATTCAATGTAATTATGAAATATGGACATGCACAAAAACATACACACACAAGCATGGAAAAGCCTATGTTTTCAAAATGTATTAATTATTGGCAGCTCAACCTGGCCTTAAAAGAGCCTCATTTCTAAAATGGAAGTCAGTACTTTTTGAAAATCCGACCTCGTACAGGTGTTTCATGTTGGCTTCCCCAAATAGAAGCAATATCGGTAGTAATTTCTGAAAATGTATACTCAGGTGTGTGTGCATCTGAGTGTGTGTATGTGTGCGCCCCCATGTATGAGCTGAGCAAATTATTTGTAAAGAATTTATTCTTTAAAATTATGGGTTTTATTATTGGTGAGATATTTATGAGAAAAGCATAGCATTTTGAAATGTGCTTATGGTTGAACATTTTTTTGAAAATGTCTTCAGAAAATGTTAAAGAAATTTTTCTGGCAAAAATCTTGTTGGTCTAATAAAAGATATCATCTCTACTATGAGTCCTGATTGCCTTCTCCTCATTTGATGACTTTGTGGTGGCTTTGCAGATATTTTAAGAAAAGTATGTCATGTTACTTGTACAGCTGAGTCACCTGGTTTTATTTCAGTTCCTTGACTTGAATAACTAACAAACACAGCACGAATTTTGAAGATTATAATCAAAAGTATAATTTTGTTTGAGCAAAAATTAAGTTTAAAATTCACTTTTCTCCGTAACTAAAAATAGCTGCAAACTTTCTATACAATGTTGAATCTGCAGTTTGGTTATCGATCCCTTCTAAGATTTTTCTAAACAATGCTGCTTTATCCTTTCACAAGCCTAATTAGAGAAAGACTTGGGGATAAGACTCTTGAATTTTCCAGGGTCCCTGGACATTTACGGCATGCCGGAAGGGAAGACCCATTTCACCCCGGCAGGAGAGGTACCAACTTATGTGAACACCCAGCATATAAATGTGGAAGCTCTACTGGCGCTTCAGTCCAATGCTGAAAGCATGTTCAGTGCCACAACAGACTGTACCAAAGAGAGCAGTCCAAGAAAAGATCTGTTTGATATGAGTAAGTTCCTTTTAAAATCTCTTTTCTAAATATAGATTCTGCATAATGAGTCTGTTATTTTGGCCCCAAAGAATCACCAATTATTCACTCCTAAAGCTGTTTGAATTAATGATGGTAATTTTTTGAGTTAAAAAATAAGAGTGCTGATAGTTTTGAAACTAGTGTGTGTCAACCACCTGCTACAGACCAGATGGAGGCTTGGCTTGTGCAATAAGGGGCCCATTTACTCCCTTACATCCTGGGTAGCAGAGTGGGAGGGAAAGCAGGCTCAACAGAGCTGCTGCATCCTACCTACCCGTGCAGATGGTCACACAAATGTGGGAGTTTGCAGAGACTTGGCTCTGCTCCTCGTCACCTCCTGATGGGCTGGGATGGTAGGAAATATATAATAAATATCCAATGAAGACCAGATGCAATAAAGGAAATGGTGGAGACATCGGACAGCTGAATAATGCATCCTATGCCTGGGTTGGGTCATACGGTTTATCTTGCCCTATTTTTCAGCTTTGAAGTCAGTGTTAGCAAAATCGATATAATAACTCGACTGAATGGTCACCTTGCTGGGGTCATTTGACCCCAGTTGATGCAGGGGGCTGGACCCGATGATCTGCCAAGGTCCCTTCCAGCCTTACCGTCTATGAAAAAAAATCAAAACTATTCTCTTTTCAAATAATGGCATAAATATTGATCGCATATTTTTTGGATTGTACTTACTGGTATCTAGTGATCTTCATGCTACACAGCTGTGAGCACAGCACATTTAGCAGTGGCAAGAGGGGAGTTATTTTGTTTAACACTAGCCTTCTTTTCTATCTTTAAACAATTGCTGGCACAAGGCTTATTTCATTCACTTATTTCAATTGAATTAACTGAATTCATTTAGCTCAAGCTATAACAACCGTGCATTTTTTTTTTGTAAACGAGCATGTATACAATTACGTTGGATCAATATCCACAGAACTTTCCTAACAGAGCTGGTTGGAACTTGTTTGTGTCAGTTGCCATAAAACTTTTGGCAGGTTGGCTTTGGGAGGGCGAAATAAACCATATGACCCATCCCAAGCACAGGATGCACTCTCTACCACTTCCTTTGTTGCATCTGGTCTTTATTGGATATTTATTATACATTCCCTACCAGGTCCCAGCCCTCTGCCCCATGATCACTGCTAGCTGCCCCACTGGTGGATGGGGGCAAGGGGTCAGGACCTGCCCCTCCCCTGCGGCTTTTTCCAAGCCCTCTGTTCCTGGTTGGGGAGCCAGGGCCAGGTGTCTACACGTGCAGAGAGGTTAAAGCAGATCTGCTGCTCCTAGCAGCAGTCGGTTCCCACCCTTCTGGTCCTATACTGCCCCCCTGAAGCAGCCAGGGGGAGCTGTAGGCTCTCTTTGGGTGCTAGCCCATGGGTTGGCAGGGAGCACAGGGCCAGGAAACAGCTGTCTCCTGGCAGGGGCTGGGAACAATCTTCCCAGCCCCTGTTCTGTGATCACAATTGTGGAGCAGGGGCTAGGATTTCCTTGCTGCTGGGGTGCAGGGACATTGTCTCTGCCTAGGTTCTGGTGCCCCAGCAGCAGGCAACTCCCGGGAGCAGGGAGCAATCTCCCACACTCTGCTGTCTGGCTGACTGTCTGGCTGTCTATACATGCTGCACGGTACAATAAGTAATCACAAGTAATTTTGTTTCTTGCATTTACAGATAGCAAATTTACATGTGATTAGAGCAAATTACTGCGCAGTAAGCACCTGCATATGTAGATGGTGGTGCTTGCTGGGCAGTAATTTGCTCTAATCTCGCATAAAGCATTTTATATGGATGCACCCCAAAAGTACAGAATCCTTCCATCTTCGCACATGAGAATGGGAATCATGTGCAGCTGTACTCCCTGTCCACCATTAAAAGCTTGTCTACATTGGGAAAAAAAGCATCTTGTTAGCAAATATGTTAACAAAAACAATGTTAAGCATGATTTGTTATTGTAAAAAATGTGTAATGGGATATCTCTACTGCAGACTGAAGTACAGTTGAGAGATACCTGCTAGCTTTAAATGAACCAGTTTATGTACCAGGAGTAGTTTGCCTGTGCATGAAGCTCTGTGCCAGCTGATTTACCCTGTTGAGAAGCAGGTTAAATTAGCCTGTATGTAGCTCTGTGCTACCATGGCTAGACTGCTTCTGGAGCCTGAGCAATCTAGCTGGTCTTGGTTAACTCAAGGGATGATCACATGAAGTATTATGCCTTGTTTGACATTTTGATCATTAATACATATTACTAACTTGTTTCTGGCCATGAGATTTTTCTCGGTGTAAATAAGGACTAAGACATTTCTCCTTCTACTCATTCCCCATTAAGCCCATGAGGAGAAGAGAGGCCTTGCAGCCTCAGCATCCATCTACTCTTTCAGCCCAGATTGATATTAAGCTGCATTTTCCTGAGCTGATGAGGTGCCAAATGAGAACTGTAATGCAAATGCCTTACAACCTCATTGCTAAGTTTTCAGAAACCACATTGGATGATCCAAGCTACTAATGTGTTTTTAAAGTCTCATGTACACAAAGCAGTGTATGTTTTTGACAAGTGTTAGGCAGTCAAAACTAAAATCTGGTGGGGGGACCTAAGCTTTACATGGACTGGTTTAGCACAGTTCAAAGTATGCACTGCATTTTCTGTATTAAACTACTAGCACCTCTAACATCACATGGTTAAATCCTAGTCTAGACAAAACCTTTTTGGTTTAGAAAAAGGACTGCGCCCTGCCAGTGCTGTTTCCCCACAGGGTTGCCTTCAATCATCTCAAACAAGGTAAAATCTGTTAATCTACATTAGGATGAAGGTCAGGTTAGGTAATGCAGATTATCCCCTAGTATATAGATTTATAAGGAGCTCATCACAGTGATTAAACAGGAGGATGGATGCTTGTTAAAAGAAAACTGTATTTTGAAAAAAAAAGAAAGGTTTGTTTGATTATATCCTTTGCTGGACTAGCTGTCCAGTTGGGAGAAATGTTAGATAAGCTTTCTGGCATGAAGTGCTGTTCCAGGAGCTATCAGTGCAATATGCTTGACTATTCAGACTGTGCCAGATATTAAAACTTAAATTGCCCAAAGCAAGTGGCAAGACAAAAGGCAGGTTCTGAAGCCTTCCAGCACATGCAAATACCAGGTGTTTATAAATACATGATCTTTGCCATTATTCCCTTTTAAAAGATCAAGTCCAAATAGACTTTGTTTTTAATACCCTTCTCTACAAGCCATGTCATTTATATCCTTAATGCATTATAGAAATTAGTAGAACAAGCATTTTCTATGTTTGTTTTTTCTTAAGGATAAATGGAAGTAGCTATTACAAAAAAAAGGGATTAAAATGGCTGGATTTATACTATTTTGTAATTCAGTTTATCTGTGAATGATTTTCACTTGTCTCTGTAACCAGAGCCGTTTGAAGATGCATTGAAGAATCAAACTACTGGGCCTGTGTTGAATAAGGCAACTTCAGTTGAATGTACCAGTCCTCTTTTATCCAGAGCAGCTCACTGGACTATGATGGAAGACCTAAGTACAGAACCTTGGTATCAAGGGGAGATGAGCAGGAAAGAAGCAGAAAAGTTGTTAAAGAAGTGTGGAGACTTCTTGGTCAGAAAAAGCACTACAAATCCAGGTTCCTATGTGCTGACTGGTATGCATAATGGACAAGCCAAACATCTTCTTTTAGTGGATCCAGAAGGAACTGTAAGTATTGACTTCTCAATAACAGTAAAATAGCGTTCTGTAAAGCAGAAGATTACCCTTGTCAATGCTTAATTATTATCAGAGGCATGTATAAAGTGTCTATCACTTAACCCTAAGCCTCAGTTTATGATGTCTGGTTAAGAACTGCTGCAGGAATTCTCCATGTAAAGGCAACCTTCAGATCATTTTTTCTTGAGTTCAAGTTGAAATGGAGAAGTACTGCAGTGGTCACCTCTGACAAGACACTTTTATGACCTCCTGAATCAGTGGCTGGGTAATTTCTTGAATCAATTAAAACAGTCTTGTCACTGATTTTACTTACACTGTGGTCCTCGAGGTAACAACATGCCATTCTGATAAATGATGATTGTCAGGGCACAGAGCCAGCCTGGCCATGATGTTTTCTCTGGGATGGCACCCTAAAGTTGGGCTAAGAGGAAACTGGCACACAACAATTATCTCTAGCACCTCAGGACTCCCTCAGCTGGTGACTTGGGCTTTCTAGCAAAGGAGCCACATAAAGAAGCCAGAGCTGGGCAAGTACACTGAGCTTTGGTATTTTTGCAGCTGTTGTATTAAGTTTGTTGATGTGTCTCAGTTTGGTGACTCAAAGCATCTCGTGTGTTGAATATATGTCAGTCGTGTATTAATAGTGCCTAACCAACCAACTACTCCTCCGTATGAGACTAGTTTAAAAGCAGGTGTCAGAGCAACTGATACCTGTCAAAAATTGGCATATGTGTTATATACATCCATGAGGCCAAGTCTGGCTGCACTAACTGACTTAAACTGAGAAACTGGCATAAGGTCACTGAGGTTAAATCTGGGGTCTAGAGGAGTGATTCCCAACTAGGGTAACGCAGCAGCTTTTAAAGAGTGTCATAGGGAGAGAGGAGCTAAGCAAGATATGCAGATTCCAGTGAGAAGATAAGGGCAAGCTCTTCCCTGCTGGCTGTTCCTCCTCACTGGCCCTATAAGAATAAATTCATTTTTATATGGGGTGCAGCTCAGTGGAAAAAAGTTATGAAGGGGTGCCTTGAATCTAAAAAGGTTGAGAACCATTGGTCTAGAGATCACAAAGCTTTGACTAGAGAGCATTATTGCCCATGCTGTAATTGTATTGGCCACAGGAGGGCAGTGAAGGAATATTTTAAAGTTTGGTTTTTACAGCTGCAGTAGTCTCTGACTACTCGTGTTCCGTCATTTTCAACAAGCTAGCAGGACTGTGTGTTAACTAGAGATATGTCTCTTTTACTTACAGGCTGAAGGTTTTCCAGCAATTTTGTGATTCCTGAAGAAGGCCTTTATCTTCACTTAACATACAAATAATTGTCTTAGAGGGGTGCTGTGAGATTTTAATAGTAGGGATCTATTGTATCCTTACAGGACTGTTATCTGGCTTCTGCAGAGATGCAATGAGCCAGCTATACTTTGGAATAGGAAGTACATGGCCAGTGCTATGCTGCTAAGGCAAAGGAGCACATACACTCCTCCATGCCCAGGCAATTCTGCTGGCTGGTACAGGGAGAGAGTATAAACCCACATCTTTCCACTCCTTTTCCCTGCGACAGTACTCCTTGCATCCCTTCCCTCCATTTGTGAACCCATTTGTAATGCGCCCTTGAGTTCAAAAGGATAGTCTCCATCCTCTTTAGCTTGGGAGGACACGAGTAATGGTTTGCTATTGGTCAGTGCCAGAAGTCTCAAACTCACAATAACCCTTGGGCTGATGACCTCTCGCAGAATGCTGGGCTTCCACAGAACACAGTTTGAAAACCATAGCCACTGCTTGCCTCCCTGCCACCAAAGGCCACCTCCAAAGAGGCTCCATAGCCCCAAATTATGTGGTAGGTCTCATCCCACACTGGCCCTGGCCCTGAAGTCCTGGGCCCACTAGGAGCCCCAGAGGTTGGAGGAAACAGGCCACATGTTTGACACCCCAGGTCTGTGCTTATAATAGCAAAGAGGAACACTCACGCCCTTGTACTGGTTCTGCTGGGCTGTCCAGTGAGTATAGACAGTAGAGCCAAGGTTCCTTTTATCACCTTTCCAGCACACCTGTTACAAAGCGCAGTAACTCCTAAGGTCGTCAAGGCTAGGATAACTCCTTCAGAAGGAGATGTGGCTTCTTATGCTCATGCACAGGACAGGAAGCCAAGTCACTATCTAGCTGGAGAGTTTTCAGCATACATATATCCTTCCCTCCCTTGCACCTTATAAAGCATATTTCATACCTCACATACTCATGTCAGATTCCAGATGTCCACATAGAAAAAGCCTTCCTATTTTCAGCATGGGGGCAGTGCACTGAAAGGATGTTGTTTACTATACAGATGTATTAGTATTACCAGCTTTCCCTACCCTCAACAACACTCATGACTTGGAGCACATTCTCTCCATTGACATCAAAATGTCCCACAGACATTAATTGACTGGGTCTTGCAAATGAACTCTATTGGGCTTGATTCCACCCAAAGAGGGCTCAGCACTGAAGCAGCATTTCAGTGGGCATGTCTACACATATATGTGTGCTGGCTTAAATTTACGGTGTAGTAATTTACTGCACAGTAGGCAGGAATAGGCCGGCATCTACACGTGCAGGCATTAAAGTGCAGTAACGCTGTTAATAGACTTTGTTTTTTAATACCCTCCTCTACAAGCCATGTCATTTATATCCTTAATGCATTATAGAAATTAGTAGAACAAGCATTTTCTATGTTTGTTTTGGGACTAAAGAATTGAAGAATTTGTTTGGGACTAAAGTTAGTCCCAAGTCAGTCCACACACGCAATGTTACTGTGCAGTAAGGTGTCTGTCTATATGTGTGTTACTGCATAGTAAATAATTGGGCATAAATTTGCTACCTGCATCATGCAGGTATCTAATTTATGCTCAAGCCAGCATAAGTCACCATATTTACTGCGCAGTATGGGTGTGTACGTATAGATGCGCACCCGTACTGTGCAGTAATTTCAGTTACTGTGCAGTAAATGCATACGTGTAGATGTGCCCATTGGGTGGTTTTTGTGTTTGAAACACTTTATAAAACTAGGGCTAAGCTTGACCATATCCTTCAAAGGTGGGATGTGATCACACTTATCAACCGTGAAGAGTCAATAGTCACATCTGTTTGGAAAGGCTGTCCATCTGGGGCAGGCTTGTTCCAGTACTCTGTCAGCTTGGCTTTCTGGCTTGCTGGTCATGATAAAAGCCCTTAATAGTCTCAAGGACTGTGCTTAGTCAAGGAGCTGCTAATCAAAAGTTACACAACACTTGAAAAACTCACTCTCATTGGAGTGCTTGCCTATTGTTCTTAACAATGCTGGCCTTATAATTTGTGACATGCTAGCTCATTTGCAGCATGTCATGAGCACGCCTAGCAAAATGCAAGCATAATACAAGCCTTGGGAGACTATTTTTTCACAGTCTGCATTTCTTTGTGCATGTCTGCACTGTCTCTGTGCAGTGCCCAAGCTCTGAGATGCATGCTCTGACTACATACGTTGTAACAAATCCTGGAAATGAGGCAGTATTGACTCCTTGGTATAGCCCTGAGCCAGCCACATGAACCCTGATAGAAATAGAAAGTATGTGCTTAGGGCTACTCAAAGGGGACTGCCTGGCCTTGCATCTCAGATTGGGTGATGGCAGTAGTACTAGACACAATGGTGTAGAAAAAAAGAGATATCAAACTTATTCAGCCCTGTGGGCTGAATTAGGGGCACAGGGCCAGTCCATGAACTGGATTGGGCTCACAGACTGGCCCCACTCACCACATGCAATGTGCAGGGCCAGTCTGACATAAGTGGTCCATGCAGCATGTATCCCAAACTAGCCCCACATGCTTCATGTAGTGTTCAGGGCTAGAGCCAGCACATGCTCTATGCAGCATGCAGGACTGGGTTAAGACCTATGCACCATGGTCTGGATGATACGGCTCTGAAGGCCATATCTATCCTGTGGCCTGTACCTTTGACACCCTACTTTAAACTCAAGAAAACTGGCCCTTTTGGGGGTCAGGTCTGAAAAGTAAATGCTGCTGAGGCTGGTGGGCTTTGTTTCAAAATGACCTCCTTTTACTTGAGCTAGACAGGGTAGGTACAGACATTTGGGGAGGTCAGATCACATTAAAATTGGCCCTGATATGGACCTTACACTAGTTAGGTTGATCTAAGTGTGAATAATACAGAAGTTCAGGATGGTTATATTGGTCTAAAACTGGCCTACCTGATCTAAATTAACCCTGCCTCCAACATTCACCTAACTTAGATTCAGTTGGCCATTTTTAGGCCAATCTAACTGTTCTGAACTTCTGTACAGTTCCCAGGGCTACAAAAGCCCTGGGGCTGCATTTTTCCTACCCCCTGTCTGACACTGGGCTATTTTTAGCTCCCATCTCCTCCTCCCGAGATGGACAATGGCCCCCCTGCAAACCATCCAGTGTGTCCCCTCCCCGCCACCAAGCCTGGCAAAACCTCCATCCCACAAGCATCTCCTGGTGCTGGTTTTGCTACTGTTTGCCAGTGCCAGGACCTGAGCAAGTAAGATGAGTTGTGGGGAGGGGTCATCAGGCTGGGGGAGGATTAGGTCACTGGGAGGTGGGGTTGTTAGTCTGTTGGTGTGGGGTAGAGGGCTATACAGAGGCCCTGGTCATGGGGGGTGGGGGAGAGAGCCCCCCCACCTCCCTGATCCTGCCAAACCCTCCCAGACCCCAGCAACCCCCCATGGACCCTGCCTGCCCCCCAATCTCCCCCAGAGCCATTCTGGGAGAAATTTTCCAGGTTTGGTGTCCGCCTCAGAATGAAATTATTTTTGAAAAGTTTCAGCAAAAAATATTCTTCCATTTCTCAAGGAAAAGATTATTCTGAGACCTGGGTTGTTTCTGCCATTGTCAAAGAAATTCTTAAGAGACTGTTGGTCAAGAAGCTGTAAGACTTCTTTCTTTGGAACAAAGACCTGATATTGGGCAGAAGAGGGGCTTTATGTTGGGCAGGGGTGAAAATCAGAAAATTATAAGTCTTTGAGGAAAAAAAAGCAGTTCAAACAAATAAGGGAGGGATCCTTTAGGAATAATAGCTTGTGACCATATAATTAAAGTCTGAATCATAGCCTATACATACAAAAGCTACTCTAGTTCTGGCATTTTCTAACTTCAGAGTGCTTGACTTTGTAAACTTAATGTTCTTTACATCCAGTTGGTTTTGGTTGTGATCATTTATATAATAAGATACTAGTACAGAAGTCTGGAAACGTGCTAAACAAATAGCAGATTCCTTTTTTATGAAGATATTTAGGCCCAAAGGGACAAAGTGGGTATGATGCAGTACAGAACAAACTTGGAGATAAATACAGAATATGGTTTTGTATTTGGAATGCTTCCCTGGAGCCAAGTGGCTTTTCAGGAAGAAATGATGGAGGACATTGTATACATCAGGCCCTGTTGAAATCAAAGAGGATCCTGAAGGGGTGATATGTCACTCAGTCTGCTCAGACTGAAGCTGGTCAGCATTTTTTTTAGTTTGTTTTGTTTCATTGAAAAAAATTGACAAAACCAAAAATTCCACGTCTGGCATAAAATGTTGAGTTTCACTGAAAAACCAAATATTTTTCAGTTTGTTAAAAGTAACTGAAGCCTCCCAAAATTTGGGGCACCAAAGCTGCTTGTTGCTAAAATGTTCACGTAAATGTAGAGCTTTGTGTAAAATGTTTGGATTTCAGGGGTTTGGCTTTTCAGTGGTAATGGGAAATATTTGAGGAAAGCAGAAACTTAAAAAAAAGGAAAAGAAAAAAGTTTCATTAAAGCCCAAATTTACATTGCGAAAAAAAAAATTTAATGGAATTTTTTTTACAGAGCCTATGCAGCCTCAGTAAAGATGGTAGACTCTTCTCCAAATATAGCAGGCAAAATAGAAGTCTGGAGACAAGACAGGAAAACAGTTAATTTGGGGGCAGCAAAATGTTCGTTGACTTTGATGGAAAAAGGCACAAACTTGTCATCAAAAATATGGAGTAAAAGAGATGCAAGATATTTCATTTTAATTCCAAAGAATATTAGCAAAAGGTTAAAGAAAAGAAATGTTTTTTGGTTTTTGTTTAACGTATGCTGTTTCATCCTCTTCTTTTAAGGTTTGTACTAAAGACCGTATATTTGACAGCATAAGTCATCTCATCAACCATCATCTTGAGAACAATTTGCCAATAGTCTCTGCTGGGAGTGAGCTCTGCCTCCAGCAACCAGTTGAGAGGAAGCAATGATGCGTTATGACACTTTCAGATTTTGTACCCTGTAAGCTATAACCAGTGGATACTGCAAACCTGAAACCATGTACATTAAAAATGCATACATAAATATATATATGTAGATCTCACCAGTATGTTCCCTTTAGGTTTAAGAAGTGTCATCCCATATGGTACCACTTGAAAATTCTTACTGCTCTACTCAGACGTGAAGTCTGATTGAAAACACAGACAGAAGGCTTTCTTAAAATGTAATTTCAATAAAATTGTTCCGATTCCTTAATGTGAATATTGATAGTGTACATACATGCATTATATATAAATACAGTATATATTTATATTTTTCAAGTCAGTCTGTTGAAGGTATGGAACAAATGTTCTGTGCCATGTGTTTTTAATTGGAAAAGATGCCAATTGTGATTGTTCAGATAAAAATAGAATTCAATGATCTCATTTCCTTGAGAAATCTAATATTGGAAGTCATATTTGTAGTTTTATCTAATAAGCACAATTATGGGGAGAAAACAAGTGGATTACATTGATTAAATACCAGAAGAGGGGACTAAATTCAGAGCTAGTATTCCAACATGGAAATTTAGTGTGAACCAGTTTTTAAAAGCATTAGTTAGTGTCACTGATTTCAAAAGCATTTTATCTTTCTGATGTTGTTTCAATTCTTATATGATGCTACTCAAGATGTTTGTAACTTACTTTGACAATGACTTAGTGTGATCTTTGTGTGTTTGAGATGTATGCATTTACTTTTTCTAACAATAATATAACACTATTCTGCAGCTTTTATTTATTAAATCTAATTAAATCAAAGTAAATTATTTACAAGTAGTTCACTTGTTGTGATAAAAAAAAATTGTGCAGTGACTGCCAGTCACTTGTGAGATGTTATATATTGATTAAGTGGGTTCCAATTGCTTGTTTTTTTAATGTGTTTAGTGAAAGATGCACGCGGCTGGTCAGAGACACAGCTGAAATTTTAAAAAATAGAATAATCACAAAATATCAAACCTTAGAATGTTAATCCATGTAAAAGACCCAACTTTGATTTACTTAATTTTTAGGTGCCTCTATCTGAGATGCAGTTTAAAGTTGGCCTTTAGGAAATGATATTTTTAATAAATGTATTGGTTGTTTTTAATGCCCACTTTGGAAAAATACACGCGTATTGGTGATGCATTTTTGGCAAATAGTTCAGTAGCTCTTGGTATTGAGATATGTACAATGAAAAGCTGTCTAACACAAACATTCACACACACACACACACACACACACACACACAAACAGAGTAAATCCATGAGTAAATTCACGGTTCGCTTTTTGGAGAGGACCTTAGCTTTTGCTTATGACTTAAGGAGAGCTAATTTTAGTTCTCAAAGGGTGCATCTACACAAGACACTTACTGTGCATTGGCTTAATAACACTGTGTAGTAGTGTGTCACTGCAAAAACTGTGCTAATAGCCTACTGTGCAGTGTTATTAGGCTAATTGTCAGTAAACATCACTAAACAACCATGTGCCAGTGCTACTGCGCAATAACTTTAGGTACTGCACATTTAGTTAGTGCTTTATTAAGGAAGTACTAAACTAAATACACAGTCTCTAAGGCACATTAATGAACATGTAGGCAAGCCCAGTTTTATGAGTGCAACTCCCACATGGTTCCTTGGAGGTTGAACCACTCTCACCACAAACAAAATGTATTTTTTGGGTTCTAATGCTAAACCTAACCTAAAACTCAAACCATGTTTGAAGATTTGACTAATGAAGGTCCTGATCCAGCAAAGTAAGTACCTGCCATTTGGTAGGTAAGTAGCTGATGAGATTCCTTACATTTAGACAGGTGGTTAAGTACTTTGCTGAACTGGTGTCCAATTGGCTTCAGGATTTGATTTAGAAACCATTCCTAGGATGCTGTTTTAAAATTCTCAGATAATTTCTTGGTATTTTATGCCATAAAGCACAGAAAAGTCACTGTTTTGCAAGTTTGGTTAGGGTCAATCTATAAAACAACCTTTCCCTTCCCCCCACACACAAATCCCATCATTCTGGCAACTGATTCAGAGTTAGTACCTGAAAATACCTTCCAGAGGCGATGCTGACATGAAAATATTTCAAGGAGCTTGAAGTTACATTCTTACCTCTAATCTCCCCCATCTCACCATGTTCTACTTCTGCCAGGCACCACCATAGGATCACACTACTCCTAACTCCTATATCATTGTGTCCTTAGTCACATAAAATTCGCAGCCTGTGCTGATCTCTTTCAAGAATACCTCCAGGCATGCAAGAATCTGGCTTTCCTCTTGGATCCTCCTCCTTTCCCTTTCCCATCCCCTAGCAACTTTTCTCTTAGTCCCCACCTCCCCATTAGCAACTGCTTGACATGTTTTTTGCCTAGTTGTAGAGGCTGGTTGCCATCGGTACTTCCCCATAGAGCAAGAAGGTAGTTCCACCTCACAGGAAATGTGATAACCTGATTCTTTTTCCCATCTTTCCCTGTGCGACTATGTGGAGAAAGCAAGTCCTCTTTACCTTGCCTCCTAGGAGGCAGGGGAATTATGGTTGTGTTCTCCCCTTATTTTCCTTGCAGTGATGATAAGATCGAAGCAGTTTTCTGAAACAGGGAACTGTTTGCTTCAGTTCTTTTCTCCTCTGCATAGCACAGAAGTGTGGGTGGGATCTGGGGTCTCAAGGAAGGAGTACTTAGATGGTTGATTACTGCCCTGCCTAGCATGACTGAGTCCTTCAGCCCTGTTGCCACGTTGGAATCCATAAGGCAAAAATGTGGAGGCACTTCTGCTTCAGAGTACCCCTTTGACTGAGAGCGATGATGATTTAAAGGGGAAAAAAACCCTCTGTTTTGCTTTTTTGAGCGTGGTTGTCTTGTGGAAGAAGACTTGGAAACAAGGCAGTCTAGGGCCCTCCGTACATGGAGCATCCCATGACCCTGTCCAGTGGCAAAGACCTGCCACTGTGTGCCCTAGCAGAACATGCCTTGTCACACATTCACTTGCAACAGTTGCAAATCATTGGATTATAGTGACCCATTAAAGTTAGTAGGAGTTAGGAGATAACTTTTGCCTGAAAGGGATGCAACTTTGTAATGTCACAAGGGTTCTTAACAGGAGCTAAACTGCTTGAATGTGTGTTTGCTTGCATTTTAAATGCATTAACTTAACAAGTGTTAAGTTGGACATGCGACACCATCCTCTCTCTGACAGGCCATGCCTCTCAGACCTATTATTCTAGACTGTCTGCATGTTCAGACTAGTACTGTTTACGTTGAGGTCATGTATTATGCTTTTTTTTTTTTTTGCTAACCTCCCCTCCCCCAAAAGTTGAAAATGTGACCTCATTGTAACTTTTAATGAGGCCCTAGGCATGGCCTGGTACAGCCTATGCCTTCTGCCTGTGGTTCCATTTTTATTATCTTTCAGTAAAGGATGTCATATTTTTGCCGTTGATTTGTGATACAAATTCTCCTGTCAGAAAGTAGGATTTCATAACAAACAATGTTTTGTTTTGTTTGAACAAACTGGGCCTAAAAGGAGTGATGGGAGATGCGTGCATGAATGAATGCATTTCAAATGTATTGAAATAAATTTGTAAAAAAAAAAAAATGTTTCTGAATTTACCATCTGTAGTCTTAACAAACTACTAACCAATCTGCTACCATGTAAAATCCCCTACTCTTAGTTCAGTTCTTAGCTGTTGTAACTGCAATTGTAATTACACATCAATATCATTTTTACCTTGTATTACCATATGTTCTGACAGCAGAAAGTAGCTGAAAACACGTCATATTGACCTGGCTCAGGATGTCACCTGGTGATGTGGAACTGTGGTAAAGGGAATGACTAGAGGTAGTGCAGGTAGATGCTGTGTCTCTGGGCTGTGGTGAAGCCTTGTTGCTAGATAGACCCTAAGGCCTGGACTGTAGTGCATGTCATGCCTCTGAAGCTTTTAAAATGACTGGGAATCAAATCAACTTCCATCTGACTCTAGGATATTTGGGGGTAAAGGAAGGGCATAAAGACTATTCAAAGCTACCTTTCCGGTCCCTGCTGCTTTGGTTGCTGCTCTGATGGATTTGGTACTGTGCATGAAAAATTATACAGCAAGGCTATAAATCTGTAAGTTCAGGGTCTGATCTTGTTGCCATTAGAAATGGTGAGTGATTTGCTATGGAACTTTATGGAGGTACCTAAATCCTATTTAGGTGCCTAAAACCCCATTGATTAAGTAAATTGGAGGTGAATGCTGGAATCTGGGTTTTCCCGGACATGTCCTCTTTTTGGATCCTCCAGCTCTGTCCAGGTGGTTTTTTGAAAGCTGAACAAATGTCCAGAATTTTTCTCTGCTCCACTGGTGAGAGTGAGGGGTAGGCAATTGGAGGCAGGGGGCACCATGTGTGAATGTGTGTGCATGTGGCTGGTATGCAACCAGGTAGGGTGGTGGGAGCAACCTCAACAGCTGGATGCAGGTAAGTCTATGGGGAGTGGTGGTTGGAGGGTCAGGGTTTGGGGACTGTCTGGGGGGAGGTGGATAGGGGGAGTCAGGGCTGTGTGTATGTGTGTGGCAGGGTGTGTGAAGTGGGTAGGGGGCCCTTTGGGGGTGGTGGAGAGCTCCATGGCTGGGCCAATGGCACAGGGTCCAGTGCCCAGGCTCACAGGGGTGGAGTGGCCAGAAGACACTGTCCGGCGGGGGAGCGAGGGCATGGCCAGGCCACCTGGTACAGTGCTGGGGCCTCAGTCCAGGGCAGCGGGAGTCACAGGCCTCCCTTCCTTTTCCCTTCAGCCTGCACTGGGGCCAAAGTTGCTCCACCAATGCCCGCATAAATTGGAGTCACCGCGCTGGTGAGATGGGAGCAACTGGGGTCTCCTCTGGCAGGGCTGGGGGGGCTGTGGCTTAGGAGTGAGGGCACAGGGGAGGCAGGGGACTTGTGAGTCATGTGTGTGGGGCACTGGCAGTGCCATGGGGCTGTGAGTTGGGAATGAGGGGCACCAGCATGGCCTGGGGGTTAGGGAACTGTGGGTTGAGAGGTAGGGGCACTGGCAGGGTCAGGGGTCTGTGGGTTTGGAGTGAGGGGCAGCAGCAGGGACAGGGGTTGAAGTATGGGAGTG